AATTCTTCACAGAAGCTGGGAGGTGGGCATAGCCAAAGGGATATTCGATACCATGCTGAAGTCATGCCTGGGATATAAGGAGAAGCTAGCCAGGAGAGGAGCCTCTTTTGTGAAGCTCTTGGTGGTGAGGATTTCATTGTATCAGTGTTTCCATTGTACTCTATATCTTGTCTTATTGTTATATTCTCCTTTCTTTTGCTTTCCTCGTGTGGTATTATTAAAAATCCCTCGTTATCTCAATTCACAAGGTTCCACTTTTCTTATCCTTCCCCATCTTACCAGGAGGGGACGGGGGACGGGGAGGTGCGACCATGTGGCGGTGGCCCTGACCCAAGACAAAATTTTAACAGACGAGTAAACAACAGTCTTTAACCATTACAATAAGTACCTAGCCTGGAAAAAGACTCAAGCCACCAACTTTATGGAAGGAAAGTCTAACTCTGTGAATGTAGTTTTACTAGAGACATTAGAGAATTCAATCAACATTGTGATACTTTCACTTAGAATGACAACTTCTCACTCCCTAAATTCTATCCCTCACAGATTTGCTTTGTACAGTAACTTGGTCCCTTAGTTTACTTCTGCAGAATACCAAAGCGGAACTGCTGCTGGTCTTCAAACCGCTCACTATGCTGGGAGAGGGGACATCACATTTTGACCAATATTGCCCCAATAACCTGTGAAAGCCACTCCCCATCCCCCCACAGCAATCACATACCTCAGGGTCATCTGTGTAGTCAAACATCCTAAAAATAACCCTTGGCATTGGGTACACTGAATCTTCGGTGTGAGGTGGAGGAGTGAACGGAGGCAGATTGTGTTGCAGTGCTTCACAAAGAATGCTGTCGAAAGCCAAGTAGGGCCTCAGAATGTGTCGCTCTTGCCAACGGTCTTTTTTCAACTTCTGGATCTGAGACCAAAGGCAGTCTAAATACTGAGGGAAAAAGTTGAGAAACATCAAATGTGCTGAATATCATAACAAAGCTGGCAGCTTCCTCAACCATCAGAAGAGTATTTCTTGAATTCCATGTTCCATTCAGAAAAACAGTTTCTTAAACTGCTGATTCAGTAAACCAAGAAATAATTTAAGAACTCTAAAAACCAGAGCTGCTCCTAATTCCACACAACATTGTGTCAGTAAAATTTAACTGCTGGAAGGTTTTTAAACACCAACACACAGCCCAGGCATCTGAGCATTATGGCCATCCTTGTAATCTGCCAGCAAAACTACAGCAGTGAACATTACTTCAGTTACTGCTCACTGGTCGTATTAAAACTTATGTAATATCAACATTAAAACTGGAAAGACATTCCATAGGACTGCCATGCTGTTCCCAGAGCAATCAAAACTACCAGCTACTGCATATTCAAGACAAATACAATACTATCAAATAATAAATACCTTTGTCATGGTTTTCAACACAATTGCGAGTCCTAGCATCCTCCCAGAGATTGCACAGACTTGTGCAACTGGCAATAGTCTTGCTTTGTTTAATTACTCCCTTGCTAAAAGCAGTTCAAGAACTCTGCAGGCCTGTGGCCTTACTGAATGTAAGTTTCAAGTTATAACTGGTGCAAGAAATGTCTTTACATGGAAGCGCTTCGCACATACTGAAATTACCACACTACAAAATGGGAACAAAACTAGTAACAACTAGCACCTGAAGCGACGTTGCCGTTTAACCCCAGCCACCAACTAAGCACCACACAGACGCTCGCTCACTTTGTGCTGGTGGGACGGGAAGAGAATCAGAAGAGTACAAGTGAGAAAACTCATGGGTTGAGAGAAAGACAGTTTAATAGGTAAGCAAAAGCTACATGCACGCAAGCAAAGCAAAACAAGGAATTCATTCACTACTTCACATCAGCAGGCAGGTGTTCAGCCATCTCCAGGACAGCAGGGCTCCATCACATGTAACAGTTACTCGGGTAGACAAATGCCATCACTCCAAATGTTCCCCCCTTCCTTCTTTTTCCCCCAAAATTTACATGCTGAGCATAACGTCATATGGTGTGGGATATCCCTTTGGTCAGTTGGGGTCAGCTGTCCCAGCTGTGTCCCCTCCCAGCTGCTTCTCCACCCCCAGCCCACCCACTGGTGGGTGGTGTGAGAAGCAGAAAAGGCCTTGGCTCTGTGTAAGCACTGCTCAGCAATAGCTAAAACATCCCTATGTTACCAACACGGTTTTCAGCACAAATCCAAAACATGGCCCCATACTAGCTACTATGAAGAAAATTAACTCTATCCCAGCCAAAACCCGCACACGTGAACAGTCATGTCTGCTGTGTTCTGAGTAACACATGGTCTCAAACGCATTCTGCTAATCTCTCCTCTATTGAACTGAATAAGGAAATTCATATATTGGGCAGGCAGAATACTCACGTTGACAAATCAATCATAATCAGACAGCCATAGTCTCTCCAAATTATGATTAACAAGACAATTGTTACGACTGATTTAACCAGAACAGTGAACAAAATGTATGGTCCAAAACTTCCCAAAAGATCAATTTACTTCTTACAAATCACTTTCCAACTAAATTCGTCCTCAAACTTAGGGTAAAGAAAAAAACCCCAAGAATATCCGAACAGGCAAATTCCCCCCCAAACTAGCCAGATGCCACCTCTCTCCTCCAGTATTTTTATCTTAATTGTGAAAGATGGCACAGTAGCTGATGCACACAGTTTCTACATATTTGTTTAGCAGTTCCTAGACCTGAGAAAGCGAAGCCGCTACAAAGTTTTCTTTCCTGCACAGGGAAAACAATAAGCAATAAGCAGAATTACATTCTGCTTCTCACAGAGGTCCTTTTAACACAAAGCCCTGTATTTGCAATTCCAAAACCAATATTATAGTTTACAACCATTGCTCACTTCATAACAATTCCTTGGGGCCTATCAGCAAAAAATAAAACACCCTCTTACTCACCACATACCACCTCATATTTAGGCCCAAGACTTAGAAGAGAATGCTTCACATCAAACTTGTTAGAATTAAGGACAAACAGGAGACAACCCAAAGCATTAACACTTTTAGAAGCGCGTTTTAATTTCACGGTAAAAGAATATCTTAGTAAAAAATTGTTTTTCAAACTTTCTGAAAGAATGCGATGCAAAGTCCACTCACCTCTTCTTGTGGATGTGGTTTATCAGCAGTCCAAACTTGTAGCATGGGCACATGAATCTTCTGGCGGCGTCTGTTTACACAAGAAAGAAAACCTGGCCTTTGAAAGACTAATTTAGGGCAGTAATTTTTTTTCTTATTGCGAGTGTACTACTATTTGATCTCTTCAGCTGTTGAAGTCTACACTATGTAAAAACCAGGTTTGCGATTACTTAAAATATCACCATTATGATATCTTGACAACAATGTTAACTTGAAGCACCTAGACAGAAAGGAGTCATGCTGCAGAGCACCAGTGCAATAACCTATCAGTATTCACAGCACACTTACAACTGCAGCTGCTCCAGCATGAATAGAACAAGATCTTCAACGTACCTTAGAACTAGACAAGACAATAAAACTTTTCAAATTCAAAAAAAATCTCTCCACCTATTCTATTTTCAGGGCTTGTTCCCCATAGAATGGTTCAGTCCCAAGACTTTGGAATACTTTCAAGAGAGCAATAATCAAAGCTATTAATCCATACTTGAAAAGATACCAATAAGAGTATTTTAATGGGTTACAACTTACTTCAAATAGCTCTCTGTCTGAGACAAGAGACGATCCATTTCAGCATCCTTTTTTTCATATAACTCCTTTCCAACCCAAGGCAAAGATGACAGAAATGCAAATATATACCAGTCACATCGTACCTATAGGAAAGAAATATATTGAAATCTAAATACACAAGTTCCAGAAGATTATGTACACACACGCCATTTTAATTTAAATTAAAACATTAGCAAAACTGTTATTCTGTGAGGATGTAAAGACCATCAGTTAAAAACCAGATTGGCAAGCAACAAAAAAAATATTATTGCTTGAAATGTATCATTTTTAACTTGAACTGTGACAAACAGACTTAAAAAATGGTATCACTTTCACAGTCCTTCTGCAGATTATCAATACGGCTGAACAAGCAAGGCATTATGCACTTGCCAAAGTAAAGTAAAATGAATTAACTTCAGCTACCTCACTATCAAGGACCATACTTTCTTACTATATGCATGTATTTTCTAATTGCCACAGGCTCCTTTTACTCACTCCAAGGAAACTGCACACGACAGCCCATTTAGTTTGCCATCTGTAAAATTTCCCTGTTCTAAGCATAAGTACAGAAGCAATGGTACAGACAAATTGTGAAAACAGCACTAGAAGAGCCTACAGATCTTTTGCTTACTTGGGGTACATCTTCCTCCTGTGTCACACTCACAAAGTTCTCAAACATAGCTACCATTGAAGGTGCAGCTATTACGTGACAATTCACAAGATCAGACAGAAAACGAACCTAAAAAGACCAAAAAAAATGTTTTAAATGAATACATTTTAAACTGAGTGCACAAGAACAAATAAAGATTACTTAAATGACTAAAACAAACCACCAAAGTACAATATTCATTCAGTACTAAGAAGGCAGAAATACGACACACTGTACAGACCTACCTTTCAACCCTGGAAAACAAGTACTGTAAGTGCTGCCTAAAACGTCATTCATTATAACGTCCGTAGTCTTTTTTCACTGCAATAACATTGCAAGGATAACAGTTCTAATTAATGAAGGGTGGGAAACACCAGTATAAATTCAAAGACATGCAAACTGATACCACAGAAAAAAAAGCCCTCATGTTTCTATCTACTGTAAATGGTACCAGACCACTAAAATTACAGAAGTGGAAGGAAAAAAACTTCTAAAAAGCTGAAGATGGATTGATCCGTTGCTTCATGCGTCCAGATGTGCATCAGAAAACAGCAGTGCTGAATCTGTATGACATTATACACAACCAAATTCTGTAATTATTTATTCATAAATACAGACAGTTACACAGAGAAAGCCTATGTAAAAACTGTTGGCATTTTCAGGTTTCAGGAATGTGACAGACTGATGGTGTGCTGGGAATCAAATGGCCTTATTTGCCTGGGGAGGAAAAAAACTTTTTTGGAATATATCCTTGCTTTGGCTACACTCTAGCAAGAAATCCAGACTCACAGGAACAGGAATTCAAGTAGAAAACATCTGGGGCAGAGCTGTGCCCCTTTTTTTTTTCCTCTACCCCCTCCTCTTTGTATCCTGCCTTCAGACTTATACAAGGCCCTAGTAGGAAACCAGCTCTACCAGTATCACCACACTCTAACAGCCAAAATAGGCTGAAATTCTAGCAATTAAAATCTCCAACTTTCTTAAAGGCTCATTTTTTCTTAAGAGCACATTCACAAAAGTAGTCCAAAAAAACAACACAGTTATTTTGATCTGAAGGCAGATCATTGGGAAGAAACATTGGGAAAGGAATTTGGGCTCAGCAGACAGTTAAATACTCAAGAGAGCAATTGCAACAGAGAAAAGTACCAAACTCTTTAGTTTCCATATATTCATTGCTCTGAACAGTCTTTGAAAAGTCATTGACAAAGCTGAGGAAAGATTTCCACTGCCACTCCCTTGGTTGTTACTCTCACAAGTGATTTGTATATGAGCGTGACCAGAGAGGGTGAAGCTGAATCCAAGGGACAGCACACTGAGTCCTAATGAGGATTTTATTAGCAAAAGCGTCCACAGTTGAACAGCTGCCTCCTGACAAAATACACTAAGATACTAGAATATTAATTTTCACCAGTGGGCTTCAAAAGCAGCTAGGGGAAGTCCTAATACCTTTTTGCAGGCAAAATCTCTAAGCAGCAAGAGCTGAGCAAATGGCTGCAAAGACAGAGAGCACTTAAAACTGCCTTCTTGATTTTCATCCTTCATTAGCAGAATGAAAACACAGGTCTGGTAACAGCCATCAAAAATAGCTTTTAAGAACCAGACTGTTAATTTTATTTTAATTTTTTTTTTCCCCACAGCAGCCACAAGATCATACACATCTGAACACAATATAGGTGCATGACTTTCATCTGTCTTTTACGTTTGACTGTAGGGGAGAAGCACTCCTGTTTACTGCAAATTAACTTGTCACTGGGAAAATATACAGTTGGAAGTCAATTTTGCAACTGTAATACGATTTCTCTCCCCTGAGGAAGGAAATACTTCTCACATAACACACATTTCCTTTTGGTAGATCTACAGTGCACTGCACATTGATGCCAGAAGAGACTGTAATACACACTGAAGGGCCCAGCTCTTCTGCAATAAAAAGGTGAAAGAAGAAAGAGAGAAAAAGGATGAGGAAAAACGTAAAACAAACAAAAACCACTTACTAAATGCACAGCTTCATTATACATATTGACTTTCAGACACTCTTTAAGCTGGCGAATCATGGCTTCTACAAATTCGCCACCAAAGTTGTAGTTTCTGGCATTCAGCAATCCAACTAGTGTCGTGTAAACAGTAAGCTTTTCTGGTAACAGACGTGCACTGACACAGAAAAAGAAACATGGTGTTAGCTGTTTATTCATCATGTGCCAATTGGCAACTGCACAGCATCTTAGAATCTGCTTATTTTAAGTTAAACTTGTCTCACAAGGAAATAAGAAAAAAGTTCTAATGTGATCTTACAGTTCTATCCCATGGTTAATATTTCACAGACAATTTTTTTTTTAATCTACAGTCATTTAGAAAGGCAGGTGCCACTTTCAAGTACATTTAAGATACTTGCTTTTTACTTATATCTAATTGCTAAGTCAGCCCAATAATATGTGACAGAATTTATGCAAGGATGTACAAAGTGTTTCAAGTTTGTAATCGAGAAATAATTTTATTATACAGCATCAGCAAGATTACACAAGAGGTGTACACATTTTATGCTATTAATTTTGATTCCATGTTTCTCACGTCAAAGTAACTGATCTTAAGCACAGCACAGGGAAGGCCAGGTCCTACTGTAAAGAATTACTTTTCCTCAACCATTTTTGTATGTGTATAAGCTAATCCTATACTTTCAGAACCGTCTTAGGAAAAATACGTAGTATAATAACAAACACTGCTACACAATAGATTTAAAGTATCTGCAAAACCATAGCACAGACTAGGGCTGGAACACTCTCCGTCTTTACCACACTGCTTCATCACCCTGTTCCTGCCTAATACTGTAGACCCTGCATAATCTCAGACAGCACTCAGCAACCCTGACACAAGGCACCTCTGCTTCTGCACTCTGCTAGGGATAGGAAGGAGAGCCGTCAGCCAACACAGCGCCTGCTTTCAGCTCTTTGTGTTCGCAGCTCCTCTCCTCTAGCAAATGGGATTATGAAAACATGAGACATCTCATTGCCAGAGAACAGAAACAGTCAGTGAGAAAACAGCCCAAATAATAAGACTAAATAAGTGTTAGCACCCAATAGCTTTGGTGCTCTCAAGCACTTCATTGGGAAACAGGATACTGCCTGACATTGTCGTATTCTCATTGCTACTGACAAGCAACTCTAAGGTTTCTTCTATTTACTTTGAGCCTTTGTACACATTTCAAAGTAATGTAAAGAATTCCTTTAATTCTTCAAATTATATTACTCTTCCTTGAATTAGACATAGTACATAATAAGCTTATTCTTTTATTTCTTTTGTTTGTGGCAAAACAAACTCTATGCTATAACAGCACTCAGGAACTAAAGACATTCTTGGCATTTAAACTACCTTAAAGACTTGAACTTATGCACAGAGAAAGCACCTCCCAGATTTCCACATCTCCTGCATACGTACACAGTACATAGTATTCTTAGTATCTTGCTTTTGTAATTCGGCAGATCAGCTTCCAAAACACCAGCTAGTCCCTCCAAGTTGCTCTCCAAAGATGAATTACTCTAAAATAAAAAACATTAATAAAAAGTTGCGTCAACAACCAGGCAACACAATCCAGCCCCTGACTCCCACGTGGAAGACAAGGAAGTTGGACAAGAGCATCCTTTCATTGTCACCTCCTTCGTCACAGCAAAGATTCAGTTCCATTAGCAGTAA